GCCCCCCTGTCTGGCTTCTGATGCCGTTTGTGCAGAATGGTTTCTAAGAACATCCAAACTCCCTGGTCCTGCCCAGCACCCTTCCTCCACCTTGCACCGCTTAGCACAGGGAAGCGTTCTGCATGGATCCACCTGGCAGATGGGCGCCATGGAGAATGGGAACCCAGAGACCTGTTTGCCTGTGCTGTCCTTTCCTTGCAGGCACAGCTTTGCCTTTGTCCAGTCAGAGAAGTCTCTCATGTTTTAGAACTAGAAATCTTAGGTTAGCAACGAGGGCTAGGACTATAGAGATGAAGGGAGGGAAGTCCAGAGAGGTTAAGTAAGCAACGAGGGCTAGGACTATAGAGATGAAGGGAGGGAAGTCCAGAGAGGTTAAGTAACTTGTCCAAGGTCAACACAGCAAGTCAGTGAAGCTGAGGCTAGCGTTTCCCTTGGGCCTCAGACCAGTGTTCTTCCTACTGGCCTGCTGCAGCTGCAGTTCTTGGAGAGGATTGCTTCTCCTCACTCCTCTCTCACACCCCGTGGCTGTTTCAGTGAATTATGTCTACTATCTCATAATATGCTTAATTTCAAAGAAAACCTACCCTACATGTGATGGTCTCCATTTTTCCTGCTGTTTGGGAGAGTGTTTTACCTGCATGTCCGTGCTGAGCTTTGGAGCTCCTTGGAGAAGGGCGTCCTGGTTGTTGTGACCCATCCAGGCAGAACCCGCCTAGCGGGCCAAGTGGTTTCTCTGCATCGCTTGGCTGTCGGATAACGGCCACCTGCTTATTGATGGGCACGGTGAAACTTAGGGCCAACCTGCTCCCTAATGACACAGAACTTCCTATTAAAGGATGTCAGGGACTTGATGTTGCTCTTCTTCAGGAAGAAAAGGTGTCAGAAGTTAGATGGAATTGAACAGTCAAGAAAATATAAGTATGTACCTTCCCCTCTCCCCAGTCCCAGCCCAGGAGCTGTGATCTACCAGGAGAAGATAAATCCAGCCAAGCCCTTGGGACAAAGAGAGAGAACACTAAGCAGCAAGACATCAGCAGTCATTGGGCGGAAATAAATCTTGAGATGGTTGATAATCTGATTATCTGGATCAATTTCTCTTTTTCCTCCTCTACTCCTTTAGGACTTTTCCCTTCAGTACAAACAGTATTAACTGCCTTGTATCTGAAAAGCATGTCAGCAGGCACTGGTTGAGGATAAAAAGATGGATCTTAGATTTGATAGACAGAGCTTGGGCACTGGAGTCAGGAAGACTTGGGTAAGAATCCTGGCTTTGCCACTTACTAGCTGTGTGTCCTTGGATAAGTCACTTAACTTTTCTGAGCCTTTCAACATCTTTATTAAATAACTTTTAAGACTGAGAAATAAATTAGATGATAATTTATTTAAGATACCTAGGACAATATTGATCATAATGTAGATGTTCTGAAAATGTTTGTCATTATAATTTGGATAAGCTCCTGGGAGCCCACTTTTGATATTTTGGTAGGTCTGTTCTAGCATTTCTCCAGAAACCATGACAAAAAATTTCAGAGACAGTATTATTAGCTGATGTTGCAGTGGACTGTGCTCCAGAACCAAACTCAGCTGTCGCAAATTTGCCTGACGCAATCATGGAATGCTTGTATGTATGAATGTTGTTGAATGTATGTGTGTATGTAGTATAGACCCTAAGAACTTTTTAGTAGATGGTGGATGGTAGATGGAATTTCTCCGTCTTAAAAACGGTTGGATTCTAGGTTACCCCACCTCTATGATTCACTGATTCATATTACCAAGTGTTTGTTGTAGCTTCAGCAATTTTTGATAAATGCATTTTGTTCAGAGTCCTGTTGTATCACTCAGCTATAGCCACAATTTTGCTGCATGGCAAACAACCCCAAACCCAGTGGCATACAGCAATAAGCATTTATTTCTCGCTTGTGTGTCTGCAAGTCAGCTGAGGTTTGACTGATCTAGCTATGGGTTGGGTTCCTCCTGCTCCAGATGTCTCTCGCCTTCCTTGGAATAACAACTATTCCAACTATAGGAATGACACAGGAGGCAAGAGAAGGTGGTAAGCATAACCATGCAGGCACTTGGAAAGCCTCTGCTCACATCATCTTCAATAACATTCCATTAGCCTGGAAAGTCACATGTCCAAGCCCAGAAGTCAAGAGGCAGACTCTCTGCCCATCATGAGGCCAGGGCAAGGATTTGGGTGTATATTAATGCTGTGGAGGAGTCAAGGAGTGGGGCCCAATGAAACATTCTTCCACACCTCTGATCTTGTAGACTATTGCTGGAACATAATCCCCTTTCTGGCCAGTTAAGGGAGTTGTAAGCTCTGATGAGCGATATACCTCTTAGTACCTTGTGGGCAACGTGAGAAGATAGGTCTTCCTCTTTAGTAAATAAGCCCTTTTAAGAATCATGGAGACTTCCTCTGCAGAGCCAATCTCTAAATCTAGCCGTCATGAGCAGAGACTGGAAATGATTACCTTCTGATGACAAGTCAGGGGTCTAACTGAATTGAAATATTGACTTCCCTCCAATTCACAATGATTTTCAGGGCATTCCATAGAAAGCAGCAATGTAACTGACACTTCTGGTTTCAGATAGCACACTAGATCAAAAGCATAGATTGCTTTGAAAATAGCACCATTTATCTAGCACTCCTTGACAATTAGCAAGTAATACTACTATGAATTGTTGGGTTGAGTTTAGAAGACAGAAGGCGGGGCACCAGCTGAGATTATTAACATGAATATGGATGAAAATCTTTCTTATCCTGTCATTTAACAGAATGCATGTCTTCAGAGAATGACCCCTTTCCTAGCATGATATATTCATCCACTGCCTAAGGGGCTGGGAGCTTAAGATTCTTTCTCGCTATCGGTACAGTCATGCTCTGTATAATGACGTTTTGGTCAACAATGGACCACGTATACAAAAGTGGTCCCATAAGATTATTACCGTATAGCCAAGGTGTGTAGTAGGCTGTACCTTTTAGGTTTCTGTAAGCGCACTCTGTGATGTTCGCACAATGACGAAATTGCCTAACGATGCATTTCTCAGAACGTATCCCCATCATTAAACAAGGCATAACTGTACTTCTCAGGGAAACCTAGAAATATCCATGGGGGAGTAAACTCCCTGCTTAGCTGGTTTTCTAGGAATCTTATTGAGTGACAGAGAAGCCCAGGGGTTAGAAGCCTGAGATCTTGAGTCTGCGGCTGGGTTCAAACTCAGATCCACAACTGCGTAGCTGTGTGACCTTGGGAAGGTTGTTTAACCTCCATGGTGGTCATTGATGCTGCTCACAGATGGTCAGTTCCCCTCTCCTTCTGGCACCCAGAAGACTGGGCCCCTGGCTCCTTTGTGGTTGTGTGGTGCCCTGTGACTAGTTCTGGCCAAAGAATTAGGAGCAAATGTATTATATGTAACCTCTGGGCTATAACATTTAATAACCAGTGCAAGAGTCTCCAGAATTCTCTCTTATCCCTCTAGCACAATGACCAGCAACATTCAAGATGATGACTGTTCCATCAGCCTGGGACCCCAAGTAACTACAGTGAGCAGAGTCCCCCTTGTGACTTGTAGCATGAGAGAGAAATAAACTTGGTTGTATTAAGCCGTTGTGATTTTGAGGGTTGTCACTACAACTTAACCTAGTCTACCCTGATCCACACTCCTCACTAAATCTTAGTTTCTTTATCTGAAAAAGAGGGTAATAGTGGAATCTAGCTTATGAAGTAATCATGGGGATGAAATAGGATAATATGTGTATAGTACTTAGACTAGTACCTAGCACATAATAAATTCTTAATATATTTGGCTTTTGCATATTATTACTTTTAAGTTATGCCATATGCTAACTGTCTCTAAGAAGTTACCTATTTCTTTCAAACAAGTTGTTAGTCATGTAACTTGGAGAAACTCACTTACCCTCAAATTGCAATACTAGTATGTTAGACTAAATGAGCTACAGCTTTAAATTTCTAGACTTAAAATTATGTGAGTCTATTATGGAAGCACTCAGGGAATCCATCTTGGTGTTTCAAAGATATTCTGTTTCCTAGGGGAACAAAATATGTGATAAAACTAAACAGTATCTTCTCCGCTTTTGCAGTTGCCCTCGCCTCCACTCCCCAAACAAAAAGATCTGTGTCCTTGTTACAGATTGTTCTGTATCCTATTCTGAAGATTTCTGTCTCGGAAATCACATCTGGCTTGTAAATTCTTAGCTGCAAATTGGTTTCCCAATTTAGGTACCTACATCCTTGGAAGTCCATCTCTTCTCTGTCCTGTGTTCAATATATATACGTAGTATCTTGTTTCATGAATAAGATTTCACCTGGCTCCAGGCCACAGCCCACCATGGTCTTTCTCCTGATAGTGTAGTCTTCCTTAGTCCAAAAGGAGAGGATCTTGTCCTTGCGCCACCTTGGTCCTGGCTCAAGGTGACCACCCTCACACCGCCGCTCACAACCACTGAGACCTGTCTTCCAACTTCTCCAGATCAGAGCTTTCCATGTCTAGATTTATAGTGTTTATTTTTTCTCCTGTGTGACTCCAAATGGATCCTTCTCTGGTCCAAAAGGCAGCCCTGCCTATATTTCCTAACAGCAGTGTATTAAACTATAGGAAATTGGCATTTTTTTAAGGCAGAGCATGTCAGTTCCAAACCCAATTTGGGAAAGAGGAGGAATTTCATCACACACATATTGAATTACATGTTGGATCCCATCAAGAATTCTAACGTATTTCTCCCTCCTTACCTTGTTGAACTGGGGAGCTTTTCTTACAGACCATGCTTCATGCCCTTGCATATAACCCCCTGGCCTCCCCACCCCCAGCACGTGGTTAATAGCAGATCATGCTACACATTTATTGACTGACCAGGTGGAGGCTTTTCCTGATATCTATTGTTGGCATCCATGTTCCCACATGTTGGCTGTTTATAAAGGAATCATTTACAATAACTTTGTGGGAGACAATAACACTTCTTTAACCTCTTTCAGATTGAAGACATCATTACAAAGATGCAAGATGACAAGACAGGGGGTGTGCCCATCAGAACAGTCAAGAGCTTTCTCTCCAAAATCCCCAGTGTCGTCACAGGTAAACGTTCTCCTTACAAGGTGTTGGTGGCTACAGGAAAAGTCTGCTGAAGAGTTGTGTAGCCTCAATTGTGACCTGGGGGTGTCTAAGAATTTGTGAATGGTAAACGTGATACGTTCAATGTGCTTCTTACATAAGGTCGAGTTCTGGTCCTAATTTCTAGGAAGAAGCTACTCTTTGTCAATCATTAAGAACGCTCTTACCATTACCAGCCCTCCTGTGTATAGGTTGAGGCTTCTGGGAAGAAACAAGCTCGTAAATAAACTAGCTAGCCCATCAGCAATTTGGCCTATGGGGTGTACACAGCATAGGAATATTAAAGAAATTATTTTAGTTTTAAACAAGCCTTAAGAAAATCTATGTTCAAATTAAATAAGTTTTTTAACTCGCTGTACTCGAACTCCTGAAAGAGGTGGTTTTAAAATACTTTTTTACATTACTTTGGGGCTTTTTGTGTGTTTTGTGTGCTCAAATATTTCTTTAAAAATTGTTAATTGTGAAATGTATCAAACACACCGATATAGTTTCAAGAATAATAATAAAACAAGTCACATGCACCCATCATGTTGCTTCATAACTAACACATAATCAGTATCTTAGAGCCCCTGGTGGACCTACTGGATAGCATCTACCTCCCTTTCCACGAGCGGTAACCACTGTCTACTTTTATACTAATCAATTTGTTCTTTTTCTTCATAGTCTTACCACATAGGCGTATATCCCTTACTATCCAAACAAATCACCAAATAAATTAAGATAAAATTTTAGATAATTCTCTTATAATCGAAATCTGGCTGTTTGCTTTCTAAATTTTGGGAATCAAAAGGTCTCAGTTTCTACTGCATACCTATAGGATGGCTAAAATAAAACATATTGACAGTACCAAGTACTAGTGAGACTATGGAGCAACTGGAACTCTCACACATTGTTGGTGGGAAGGTAACGTGATGCAGCTACTCTGGAAGTTTCTTATAAAGTTAAACATATGCTTATTATATGACTCAGCAATCCCATTCCTAGGCATTTATCTGAGAGAAATGAAAATTTGCGATCATACAGAAACTTGTAAGTATTTATAGCAGCTTTTTTCGTCATCTCCAAAGACTGGAAACAATCCTAGTGTCCTTCAGTGGGTGGATGAATAAACAAAATGTGGTACATCCATATTCAGCAACAAAAAGGGGTGAACTATTGATACATGTGCCAACTTGGATGAATCTCAAAGTCATTTTTCTGAGTGGAAGAAGCCAGTCTCAAAAGGTTACATCTATATGATTCCATTTATATGACTTCCTTACAACAAGCATGAGCAACAAAAAAGTGATGGAGAATGGATCAGTGGTTGCCAGGGAATGGGAATTGGGGGAAGAGTGTGAGTACAAAGGAATAGTGCGAGGGAATTTTATGAGGTGGTAGAGCTGTTCTATATCCTAATTGTAATGGTGGTGGTGACATAAATCTGTACATAGGTCAAAATTCATAGAACAGCACACCAAAAAAAAAAAGTCAATATTACTATATGTTACCTTAAAAAATAAATACACTCAGTTGAGGTACCCATAAGTATCCCAACTGATTATTCAGATTGTCACTGTTTGAACTCAAGTACCAAGTCGATTTGGATAACAAAGGATGCTTGTATTGTTAGTGTTCTCTAATTCTGAAATTTATATAAATGGAATTATACCATATTGGCTATAGTATATTTTTCATGCATTTCTGGATTTTGCTTGATAAAATATGGTTTAGGATTTTTGTATCTATTTTCATGGGCAAGATTTGTCTGTTGTTTTTCTTATTTACCCTCCTTGCTGGTTTGAGTATCAAATTTATGCTAGCTTCATAAGATGAACCATGGCATATATCTCTTTTGTTGATATTGTGTTGTTCTCTGAAAAATAATTTCCTCTTTAATCTAGCTTTTAGGTATTTCATTTCAATTATTTTATTTTTATTTCTAGAAGTTCCATCTGGTCTGTTTCAAATATGCTTGGTCATTCATTCAACAAATATTTATTGAGTGTTTACTATTTTCTATGCATTGTTGGGCACTGGGGATTCAGAAGTAGACAAAACAGATCAAAATTTCTGCTCTCATGGAATATAGATTCTAATGGAAGAAAAACAAAATAAATAAGGAAAATTTGTAGAATTTTAGGTAGTGATAAAGGCCAAGGAAAAAAATAAAGTATGAAGACGGGATAGGAGTGTTGCAATTTTGGAATGGGTGGCCAAGCAAGAACTCCCTGAGAAGGTGACATCTGAGTAAAGATGGAAAGGAGATGAGGGATTGACTCATATGGATATTGAAGGAAAGAGCATTCCAGAAAGCAAGTGCTAAGTCTCCAAGGTAGGCATGTTCCTGGCATTGAAAAACTAAGAGGAGGGAACTAGAGTTGAGTGAAGAAAAGAAAGGATAACAGGGATGAAGTCAGAGCTAGATCCTGTAGCCTTTTAGTCATTATAAAGCCACTGGAGGACTTTGAGCATGGGGTGACATGCTCTGACTTGCATTTCAACAGGATCCTTCTATTGCATTCTGCATGCTCTGGCGAGTTGGGAGGTTAAGCCCCAGATAGGAGGCTATTGTAAAAATGGTCACTCAGACTAGGCTATCAGCATTGGAGATGTGTGAAGTGGTCAGATTCCAATTCAAGTTTAAAGGCAGAATAGTATTTGGGGATAGATCATATGTAGAATGTGAGAGAAAAAAGGAATTGATGATGACTTCACACTTTTGGGCTTGAGTGACTGGAAGAATGGAGTTGCCATTAAATGAGGAAGACTGGGAGTGGGGCAGGGGGTTTGTTTGTTTAGCTGAAGTGTAAGGAATCAAAAGATCCATTTTAAACATGTTAGATTTTAGGGACCTATTAGACATTCAGTTGGAGATAAGAAGTAGCCACTTGGGTATATGGATCTAAGTTTTAAGGGAGAGTCTGAGCTGGGACATAGGTCATCAGCAAGATGATGGTATTAAAGTCATGGGATTAATGAGCTCACCAATGGAGTGGGTGTAGATAGAAAACATAGTCCAAGTCCCAAAATTTGGGATACTTTAATTTATAGAGGTCGTGGAGAGAGGAAGAAATCAGCCAAAGAAATTAAGAAGGAGTAACTGGAGATGAGGAGGAAAATCAGAAGGATATCTTGGAAACCAAATTTTCTAGAAAGTGTTTCAAGGAAGAGTGGAGTTGATCTACCATATCAAATGCTGCTAATAATCAAGTGAGCTAAAGACTGAGAATCCACCATGGAATTTAACAACATTGAATTTGTTGCTGACCTTGATAACTGCACATTCCATGAAGCATTGAGGGCACAAAGCCTTACTGGAGTGGGTTCAAGTCAGAATGAGAGGAGAACTATTTGAGGTAGTGACTATAATTAATCTTTGAAGGAGTTTTCCTCAAAAGGAAGAAATGCGATAGTATCTGGATGGGTAAGTGGGTCAGGACGTGTAGGTTTTTAAATAATATGAAAGTGACAGTATGTTTGTATGATGATGGGAATGACTCAACAGAGAAGAAAATGGTGCAAGAAAAAGAGGCAAAATTCAAGAGTGTTATCAATGAGTAGGTAACAGATTGAATCTAATGCACAGATAGGTGGGTAGCTTTAGCTAGAAACATGTACACTTTATTCATAGGAAGAGGAGGGGAGGCATAGTGGATGCACAGAGGTACAAATAGGCGTGGAGGTGTGGTGGAGCTTGTAGAAGTTTTCTTCTAATTGTTTCTATTTTCTCAGTAATATGGAAAGCAAAGAGGGTAGCGATGTTAAGGTTTGGGGAGAGATTAGAAGCTGTGAAATAGTCATCTAGGAGAGCAAAGAGATTGACTGGACTAGGGAAATAGAGTCTTGACTGGTAGGTAGCATTAAGGACCCTCTTGAGATTATTAATATTTATGAATTTAAAGAGAGGCAATTCTTTTCCAGCCGCTTTTAGCTCTCTGGATTTGGGCATGTATCAGGTAGACAGTTGGACTTAATTAAGGCTATAGCGAGTGTGAGAGTATGATAAATCGAGAGAGAGGCAAGAGAGCAACTAAAATGATTGACCATTAAATTTTAACTGAGTAAGGAGGGAACTGAGAACATGAGATTGGCGAGGAACAGTGAGGAGTAGTGATTACAACAAATTGTAGGTCTAGTGGCAAAGGAGTTTTGGAGTTGGAGGCTAGGGTAATAGAGCTGGAAATATATAAGGTGGTGATTGGATAGTGGAATGTTTGAAATTGAGATTATAGAGGGGTTGCAATATATTGCTAGTGACAAGATATAAGGTATGACCATGGAAATAAGTGGCTGAGATAGGATGGCAGTCAAGATCATTGGAAGAGAGAAGGTCCAGGAACTAAGAGGCCATGATTTTGGAAGATTGAACTATCCAGATATTGAAATCACTACTGGGGGAGTGTTGGAGAGGTTGGTTATGAGTCTGTGGTTAAAATCTTTATGGAATGAGAGGCAGAGGCCCAGGGATCAGTAGATGACCTTCATAACAAGGGGTGTCGGTGATTTAATCTGGTGTCATGGGAGTCAAAGCTGAGTGTTTTTTAAGGAAGAGGGAGGAAATGAAGACAATCTGAAAGAAGCCATGAGAAGCAAGAAGGTCACTGACTGCCTTCAAACCCCATGGTGTGTAACACATGGGAGAGAAAATAGCCGCCACCTCAGAGGGCTGCAGGGAAGCAGGGCCATTGAGGAAGAACAAGAAGATGAAGGGAATATTAACTGAAAAGGTTGAGGATATAAAAAATTTTACTTATGATTGACCATGAGTTCCAGAGGGTAAGTGAAAGTGTTTCAAGAAATGGTGAGTATGTGACCTGAGTAATAAATGTCAATGGTTGCTATGTACCAGGCACCAGAGTAGTCTTAGGAGATATGAAGATGAATAAAAACCTGATCTCTGCTTTTCAAAAGCTATTATCTGGAGAGAGAAACAGACACAGGGAGACCAATAATGATATGAATTATGTGCTGTAATGGAAGAA